TTAGTTTTGAAAAAGGAATTTCAGGTTCAGGAAGATTGTATTTAATCCAGAATTCATTGATTCGGCGTCTTAAATTAATAAAACGTTCGACATCTTTAATTGACTGCTCTAATTGTTCGCCTTGAGAGCGAGTGTTTGGCATACAATCGATGAAGTAAAAAGGAAAATTGTTGCCTTAGTCTATACTGCACAATAACCGAATCACAATATTGACTAAATTAGTCCCCGACAACGACGCCAAAAACATGATTGCGTCCTTACGAGTCTATCGGATGATCTAACTACAAGTATATAGTCTATCGTGTAATTTTAAAAGATATCAAACCCACATGGACTAATAATCAATCTACCGTTATCAATTGATGCTATGTAAAGCTAAGGCTAAAGCTAAAAAAGATTTGGACGGGAACTAAAACGTAATTTATTAAAGGTTTGGAAATTATCATGAAAAGAGGCCGGAATATGAATTTCGTGTTCCTAAGGGACTATGTAGATTTTAGGCACTAATTATAATTAGACTACGTTCCGTAGAAAATATTGATTTAAAGACTCCATCTTACACTCTGGCGCTATTGACTAAAGCCACACTCCCTAACCATGAGATTTTGCTCTCGCTCGCCCATTTTAACTAGAAAGCGTATTTTGAATATCAATTAGATTTTAATCAATACCTAAAGCGCTCTCGTTGTTTTTATGATCGATGCCTAGTTTCCACTATCAGGTTCAATCCTCACACTCTTGCGCTATCGGCTCGAACCTTAGTTTGCTTTTCACTCTCGTGACAAAACATTAAGACATACACTTGGAAACAAAAATCAAAACACAATTTATTTAATATTTCACACCTATTATTTTTTACTGAGTCTTGTCGGTAATGACAGTCCTCATCTGCCGGACTCAGACAAATTTAGCCAGACATTATTTCAAATAAAAATAACATAAAAGCAGTATTTAAATTCAGAGACAACATGACATAAATAAGAGTAAAGCAATAAGACAATAATTAAGTTAAAACGATTAAAAACCTGTAAAGTAGAAACAAAGCGAAACTTGAATTAACGAACGTAAAACTTGATTAAGGTATCGACATGCTTGTTGCTTGATCCAAGAGTACAAAGAAATTTAAAAAAACAAGTTTTTGTTACAATCCCTCAATGTGAGTGATTGACACTTTTACAGGTATTTTTCTGCCTCAGACTAAAAACAAATTTGGCATAGCTTCCGCACGACTTGGATGCTCTGAAATATGAAGGAAACTGCTATATATAGATGCTCAAGTAGTTTGGTAGCTCCCTCAAATGTGCAAGGAGATTGAGAAGAAAAAGGGAAGTGGGCAGAGGGATTCAATAAATGACGTGGACATGGTACATGGCGGACGCCATGCACCAGAAAGATCATTTTTCTGCTCTTTTGCTGCTCTTATGCTTTTTTTCCAAATTCTTCGTAAAATTGCTCTAACATTTATTAAAACCTGCAAAACAAACAAAACACGACGTAAAACCAACAAAACAAAGTAAAATAACAATGAATAACATGCGTTATGAGCCTAAAAACACGATATGTTTTCACGCTATCACTCTAATTTTTGTTTAAGCCCATCCAAATTTTACTATTTACACCCCTTTTATGATGTTTCTTTTGTTTATTTTAAATCTTTGTATTTTATTATTTATTTATTTTATTACATTTTTTATTAAGTTAATTATTTAAAGTATTAGTTAAGTGTTTGATTAAATATTTATTTTTGGTTAATTGATTAGACTTTGTTTAATTTTTCACTTGCTTCTCTAATTGATTGTTTGATTATTCGTCTAGTCGATTGCGTTGTGATTTCGAAGTTAAAATTCTATTTAACTTCCAAAAATTGCTTGGATGTATAGATTGTTGCTCAGCTTCTTATAGAGTGATTCATACAAGAGTCTACTCCAATTTAGCTTAACATAGAGCCAAATTCAGTTGCTTTTGATTTCAGTTTGTTTTGAGTCACGCGACTTACACTTTTCATGAATCAAATGTAATATCAAAAACTTTTTCTAAATAAACATGAAAGAAAAGGATTGTTGGAATTTAGCATTTCGGTAGAACCCTCGAATGACCGGTCACGAGGCACACGTTTTGGGGTTGCCAATCATTCTCTCTTTCGTCCTTAAAACATTTAATATACTTGGGCTAAAAAGGGCCGTTGAAATCTAGCACTATGGTGGAACCCTTGAGCATTTGATTATGAGACACATGTCTTGTTCTTATCAAGCGTTCATTGTCCATTAGATAATTTTCTTAAATAACGTTAAATGAAAAATGACCGTTGGAATCTAACATTACGGTGGAACCTCAAATGACTGATCTCGAGTCTTATGTCTCGTTCTCATCAAACGTTTTTCCTTCACTTATAAAATATGTCCAACCAATCAAACTCTTTTTTCGCTGCCATTCGATATTGAAAACCTTTTCATAAATGAAAGACAATTTGTCTTGAGATAATACAAAACAATGCTTCATCCACAACCATTAAGTTGAGATAAGTGGTATTTTCCCGTGAATGTTGATATGTAGAAATCCATTCAATGTGATGTAAATGTCTGCTCCTCACCTAATTTGGGTAAAACAATGTTTTCCGTCGATTGATATAAGATAACTTTCGTTAAATCGACCAAAAAACAAAATATTTTTCTATCCATAACTATGTAAACCTTGAGTTCTTTATTGCACCCGTAGATACGTAAGAGCGAGATTCAAAGTCTCTCCAGGCACCCTAATAAAAAAAAATCTTTTTTTAGTCCTTCGCGCATTAATAAAAAATCCAAAAACATTTCTCTTTTCTTTTCTCTTCCCAAATAAGTATAAGATTGCAAACTAACATCACACTAACATTCATTCTACACTAACTAAATGGTTCTCGTTGAGTATAACGACCATGAGGGGTGCTAATACCTTCCCCTTGCGTAACAGACTTCCGAACTCTGATTTGGTTGCGACGACTAAATGATAGTTGTTATTTTAGGGGTTTTATCGATATTTTCCCTCTCTTTATGAATACATAAAGTTTTATGGAAACTATGTTCATTCCATCCCACGAGCGTGCGATTGCGCTTCGCAAGGTCATGTTTTCATTTTTCGAGGTACGACACTCAACAAACACAGTAAGTAGTGGAGCGTCGAGCATGGTGAAGGAGTAGTGGGAAAAATCAAGGAGCTCAAACTCCCGTACAATCCGGCTGACTTGCTCAGGCATTGGAATCTTCGGAAAGTCCATCAGCTTCGACCCATGCGATGTCACCTTCAGTGTTGGACGGTTTTGTGACAACCAAATATAAAAAATTAGCAGTTAGCTTTCATGATACAGTAATAAACAAATTAGTGGTGTGCGGAACTGACTATGTACCACTTCATCTTCCACCTCATCTCTGGGCTGCTCAACTTATCGTATCAGTCGACACCGAGTGCTACGAGGTGTACAGAATTGATCCTGCTTAACCAACCATTTCTGTTGTGAACCGGTTGGAACCACCCGCCCAGCCCGTATCTGGGAATACTCAGCCTCAGCAGCCCTAGCCTGACCTGCTATTCTATCAGTAGCTCTACCTACAATAGTGTCGTCCCTGCCTTTGTTTTTCACTGCAAAAGAAGGAAGAATTCAAAAAATTAGCAACTACCGGAAATTTCAGAATCTACGTAAAAAATAAAGTTTTAAATACTACCGGGAATTCTAAAATTTTTGATAAACAACAATTTTTTTATAACTACCAAAAATTTCATAGTTTCTGGTTAAAAAATCAAAGTTTTTATAACTACCGAAAATTCTTAAATTTATGGAAATTTTCATGGGATTTTATACCAAAATTTTTGAAAATTTTGGAATAAATATTAGAATTAATACTGAAATTTTTTTCGGAAATTATGACATTTATGATAATAAACGTACTATTTTTCAAAATTTTTGGTGTTAATCGAAAATTTCGGTATCGCCTTAGAGTTTTGAAATTCACACGTAAGTCTTATAAATTTAAAAAATGAGTGAAATAATTTAACAAAGACGGTTGTTTTTTTCATACGCAACGAAGATGTGTTAGGTTCAAATGGAAGGTGACAAGTTAAATGTTCAAGATCTTATAGTTAAATATCTTAGAAATATGGACGAGACCCAAATCTATAATATCTTCAATGTCAAAATTATTTTTCTAAAAAAAATTGTAAAAAGAAAATATTTTAATTCTAAAAGGAAAATCCAATATGATATTGGTATTTTTGAGGTTAGAAACTTTCGTTATAAGAAAAAGAATATATGATATTGGTCATTGGACGAGATAATTGAGAATTTTAAAAAAATTCAAAATTTAAAGTAATTTAAATGATTCAGTTGAAATCTATTTATTTTTAAATTCTTTTGTTTGGATAAAGTATTAAAATGATTCATTGTTAAATTTTTAGGATCATTTTTATACATTTTAAAATTTAAAGAGACTAATTCTTAAAATTTGAAAAGTACTAAAGATTTATTTGTAATTTTTTGAAAATTTTAGAGATGAATTTGAAATTTTCATAAAATATGAAGACCATTTTACAAAATTGAAAAATTAGTACTGACAATTTAACATTTGCATTATATAGACTGAACGAACAATTTTAATTCTTTATTTTTTAATGTCATTTGAAATTCCTTAAATTTAAATTTAATAAAATACTTCATAAATTTACATAATTTTAACTCTTCTTTATATTTTTTTATCTAAACAATAAATTTTAATCAAGTCATTTTAAACATTACTTTTCCTTTGGGAGGTAGGAGTACAAAAGGGAGGGTTAGTAAGGTATAATTCTGTAATTATCCATTATTGGACTAACGGGCTTTGGTGCCAATGTTTCTACGGGTCCCCGGTATCCAACAACTGTAGATGGGTTTTTGGCTCATCGACCCTCCTCAGCTTTGAGAGGAACGCCCGTAGCATTTCTGTTAGGTGAAACACCGGAATTTGAAGTTCATACAAAAATTATATCTCAAAATGTTGGGATTCGGGCGAAGAAAGTTTCTTTCTTTCCCACTGGTCATCGGCGCAGTCATGTAAGTTTTGAATCTATGACCTAATTAAATAAAATCCTGTTTGAAAATTTTGCATTAGCATGATCATGATTTTGTTTGGGGTATGCAGTATTGGTGTTGTTTCTGGTAAATCAATATTTGGACCTCCACTTGATGAGTACTGGAAAAAGAAGCGTCAGGAAGAAGCTGCTGCCGCCGCTGCAGCAGCTAAAGAAAATGACTCAATCAAAACCTAGAGGTTATGAATTCTTTTTTGTTTTGTTTTCTTCGCATTACTTTTATATAGCACTAGATTTATTGAAAATTAATTGTATAATAGTTATGGTTAACTACCATTTACTAGCAATAATATTATTGCACTTGAGATCAATGTTAAATTTTGTTACATTCAATAAAGTAGTATGCTTTCTTCACTTTGCTTAGTGCTTTCTGTAACTGCCACCGGTTGAATTTGAAGTTTGTTGTGACTTGTGAGTGGTGGTTGGACATAGTGCCATTATCGTCCTCTAGGTTTGTTGATGCCTGTTATTGATTATAATAGAATCTGGGTTCTTCCCGAGTCTGCTGTGCCATAATGCCATGACACTGATAAGTCGGGAAGTTGACAATATTGCGCTGCACTGTGTTGCAGTGCTTTGAACCTCTATGCACATTAGGGAAAATTTAGTTACATTGAGAGCTGAATAGAGGAAACTGATGGGTATGGGATTGTTGTCAAGTTTGTTTCTGCCCAAGTGAGGAATGCACATTAGTTATATTCATAATTTGTTATATGTGTATTCCTTGACTATTGTAGAGATAAATTCATATACCATGAAGACTTGATAATGTGAATCAGTTTCTGAGTTGAAAAAGAAGGGTATTTTATTGTAAATGAATCTTCTTCCTCATGAATTCTAGTTTCTATTTTGTTCTCCATTAAGTTAAGTGTATCTTTTCTATTTCTGCTGTCTCTGTAATGATTCCTTGTACTCTAATCAAATTCATAAAGTCATTCTGTTTTCTCTTTTGGTTTTATCTATTGATATAAAATTCATAAAAGTCATTCTGTTTTCATAAAATTCGTAAAAGTCATTCTGCTCTTTACATCACCTCTTAAATCTATGTTCATCATTTATTGATAAAAACTTATTATAAAAACATAAAGCCTAAAGGTATTAGAGAAAAACAATTGTTTAATGCTTCATTAGATATGTAAAATAACAATTAAATTGCGACAATTTGATTTTGCTAAAACATCATACAAAATGGGACAGATGGTATACAGTTTAGAGTGTATAGAAGCCTAATGCATGCCACTTGTTGGAAATTGAATGAAAAGTTTGAGGGAACTTGGTAAGAAGTAAGTATTAGTTTGATCTAGTGTGCGAATTCCACTGTGAATTTGTTAAAGCTCGTTAAGTTCTACATAGGAAGAATAAAACATTCTTGTAGTGTTTATATAGTGGAGGGTGACCTCTTGCATTGTGCTGCAAGAGGATGCAATTTTGTTAAAGGGTGAGAATGCACTATTCATGGCTATCAGCTCGGTTCGGTCAGGTTTGGACTTAGGTGTTGCATTATATTTTGGCACTCGAAATTAAGAGAATTTTTTTATTAATTTTTAGTAAATACATTGGAAGAATAACACATTCTTGTAGTGTTTATATAATGCAGTGTGGCCTCTTGCAGCGTGCTGCAACAGGTATGCAATTTTGTAATAGGGAGAAATGCAATATTCATGGGCCATCAGCTTGGTTCGGATAGGTCTGGAGTTAGGTGTTGCATTATTTTTTGGCACTCTAAATGAAGAGAAAATTTTTTTAATTAATTTTTATTAAATACATTGTTGTTCTAGTCCGTTGCATTAATTTTGCTCACGTTTTCAACTCTAACCAAACCTTCAACAATCATTAATTGCACCACGTTTTTTCTTGTTGATCAAGTCTCTAATGGTTACTTCCTACAAATCAAAATTTTCAAAACTGATTCATTTCATTGTAGGAAGAAGTGATCAAACCGGCTCCTACTTTTTCTCTCCTTTTGGGGTTCAAATTTCATCTATAAAGCTTTTCATATCTCATTATTTTCACTCCAGATTTCTGAATTAACCGAAATCTGAACTCTCTCACAGCTCTGCTTCATCAATATTTTGTTTTTTTGTTTTTTTGAGTGGACGTTATGTGCCATATACGATTGGTATTCATACCATATTTGAGTGTTCTCCATACCATATATAATGTATTTTTTAATCCGTTATTTCATGTGCATTAGTAATTGTAACAGTTTGAACGAGACTATTTTATCTTGCAGATGTCTGGTTGATCGCATGCCTTGCACAAATTATTATGATGAATATGAAAATGATGCACAAATTAAAGAAATAGATTTATAGTTAAGGAAATAGATAGCCTTATGAAAAGAAAACGAATTTTCAAAGACAACAACAAAAGTACCAAAAACTTTTTTGGTAGCCATAGAAATTAAAAACGTCTTGAAATTGTTTTTTATTTAAAAGTCAGTTTTAAAAATATGTCACAGAAGAAATTATCGGGTTGAGTCACTAATTAGATCGTTTTTTTAAGACGTTTTATGATACTTTTTAAATTGTGCAAGACAGATAATCAACCACAACGCCTGTAAAATAAAACAACATTGTTTAAGCTTAGATAACCATTTAAGAAATACATCCTTTGTGGTATGAAGACCACTCGAATATGGAACACACCGACCACTCAAAAACAAAAAAAAAGAAAATATAGATGAAGCATAGCTGAGAGAGAAAAATTTGGAATGAATAAAATTAGTAGAAATAAAGACCTCTATTTATAGAGGAAGTCTAAACTCAAGGAGAGAAAAAAGGGGGAGCGGATTTGAAAAGTTTTTCCCATGATCAGTTCCGCAAATTTGGATTCGTGGGAGGTGACCATTGTAAGCTTTGCTCATTACAAAATAAACATGATCATAAATTATTTTTCAATTTCAAATACAAAATAATATCCCAACAAAGGACGGCGCATGTGATTGTAATGAGTTCGTGGGAGGTGACCATTGTAAGCTTGACCATTACAAAATAAACATGATCATAAATTATTTTTCAATTTCAAATACAAAATAATATCCCAACGAAAGACGGCGCATGTGATTGTAATGAGTGGTGTGTTGTCTCTCTTTTACAAAATTGCATATCAAAAAATAATGCATCGCCCAGACCCAACCCAACAGACGACGAGGTGCGTGTGATGGTCATGAGTGGTGTGTTCTCTCCCTTTTACGCCCCCTTAGGCATGCCCAAGAGGCCATCCTCCGCTATATTATCACTACTAGAATTCACACTTTACACACTAGTTCAAACTAATGCTTATATCTTACCAAGTTCCTTCAAAACTTTTCATTTAATTTTCAACATGTGTAAGAACTACCACGACTCTCTGCACAGGGCTGACCATTGGCTAAGCCACTAAGGCTGGGGCTTTAGGCCCCAAATATATAATTTATTATTAAAGAAATTAAGGCCTAAAAAAAAGGCTCTATCAATTTAATACTCTCAGTAAAAAAATTCAACAGCTATGTAAATAATGTTAATTATATTATAAGACTAAACTCTTTTTCAAATATTAATTATATAATAAGACTAAACTTCTTTTTAAATGCATTTGTTGCTTATAGAATAATGTTAATGATTATTGTGTTGATAATTGATTCAACATATAAGACCAACAAGTACAAGCTTATTTTTTTATAGAAATTATTGGTGTTACTTTTACAGAGATGACTTATTCAGATGACTTTGCATTTTTTGTATGTGAAAAAGAGGAGATGTTACATGGGCTTTGGAAGTCTGTCCGAAATTGTTGAATGACCAAGAAAACATGCCACACGTAATTGACTTAAATTTGTGGTATGGACCAAACAAATTAAGGGTGAAGGCGGGAAAATGGTCAAATCTAGTCAGATATTGAAAGTAAAACGAATGTTTGGAATGTTATAATAAATTCTTTTGCAAATGAGTTATTTGTCGAATATGTCATACAATTCAGATGGGTGTGCAAAAAAATATTCGAATTTCTCGAAATGGATTATCTTATAGTACATTTCATCTTTATGCAACTAAGGGCGCGATAAAGGTAAATGCGGCACTTGCAAGATTAACCACATATATTCTAAAGATGATGAAACATCCTGAACCATTTGTTGGTGATGAAATGTGTATTGATCAAAAAGTAAGGTGTGCATGTTACCCTTGCAAGGACAGGGGTACTTAAAGACCTTAGTAGGTTTATAACAGTTTGTGAAGGTTAGGGCTTGCCCACAATAACGAGAAGTCCTATATGGTGGTTTCAAGGTGGTTATATAGGTCCTACTCATGTGAGGTGAGAGACCCTGTTCTACAAACGTGTTGCTTTAGGTGTTGAATTTGTAAGTTATGATCTCCCCTTCTCCCGTCGAGGGAGAAATATATATAGGGACCTTTTGGGCCTAGGGTTTTGGAAACCCTTTAAGGCAGTATTCGCTCTCCCGTGACTAATGGAGAATATTGACTACTTATTTTCTAGGGAGTCGTGGTATGACTCCTTCTCACATGAATAACTAGATATAATAGAACTATACACATCATTTATCCCAAGGACAAGCCGCCTTGCTCTATGAGGGTGTTTCCCGAGCAAAATCACTATGGGAGAGGACCCTAAAGTCTTCCTTATTTGGGACTCTCACAAATATAACACTACACAATCCCTCAAGCATGAGGATTTGTAAAGGAATAAGTGTTTTTAAGGCTTCTGTCATTCGAGAGGCGAGTCTATCAGCTTGTGTGGGACGAGTCCCTCAGCTTGGGGTGAATCCCTCAGCTAAAGTCTACCTTTTCTATGTGGAGTGCATCCCTCCTTTTGTTTGCATAAGCCTCATAGTTAAGGGATAGGTCATCTCATATGGCATGATGTCTCCTAATTAGCCAAAACATCAGTTGGGAATGTCAATGAATCTTTCATATGGCCATTCTTACTTTTATTTAATGTAAGTAATGATGGTCTGTTTATCGAGACCTTAAATACTAATACCACATGTCAGAAGTGTGCTGGGTTTTTTCAAAATTATAAGGGATCCTAAAAGGTCCATTGTAGTTTTAACTTCCTTATAAAAGTTTCCCTTTCCACTTCATTGTTCTATTTTGCTCCCTGACTTCTACAAGCTCGCCTGAACTGCATAATTCTTCTACATCCTTGATTCTTCGTTCACAGCTTTTTTCCAAGTATGA